TAGCCGTTTGGGGGGGGGGTATCGGCTAAAAGGGGGGAGCCAACACGTCAAACGAATGACGCTAAACGCATGACGCCAGGGTACCGCCGCAGGGGGCGGTGTTTAACGCCTCCTGGGTGTGAAACGGCCACTCACGCCCCTCGGCGTTACATACATTACAAGTGCTCTTAGTTGTGAAAATTAGTAAGAGAGTATATTACAAATCTTTAAAATTGAGTAGGTGGTTCATTCCATTGTTATTACTCACTAATTGGGATTGATCTTGGCCTTCTATGAATGTTGTCCATACTCCAAAGAAGTGAGATCGAACCATAAAATTCCCTTTTATTGAGAACAACACTTGCTGGAGAAAGATGAATTTTTCCTTTTGATTCAATCAAACGCTCAGAGGGAAAACATATGGTTCTATTTTTTGAGTGTCATTTTGTTCTTGATTTTCAACTTAAGAAAACAGCCCAAGAAAATGCATGCCCTATGCCTGAAAAGCAATAAAAAGGATCAACCTAGAATTCTAATCCACTTTCTATCTTCTCTACGATACAAAAATAAGTTAACTAAAGTCTGACTTTGTTGAGGTAAAGATGCATAAGAACTGGTTTATGAACAAACCAACTTGGAGATCCCACCAAGGCATGAGGAACTTTAGCCGGTTTTTTTTTCTTGCACACTTTCCAGTGTAATATTCTTGGATTGCTCAAAACAGTTAAATCCCCTCTTGCATTCCTTTTTAAATAATCAAAGAGAGTGAACAAACCCTCAAACTAACAACAACAACAATAGGAGAAGAAGAAAATTAATAATACCAACACCAACCAAAGTAGTATAATGACTATGAGAAATTGAAACACAATCACCATTTATAATTATTTCTTGAACATTCGCTATAATTATAACTTAACATTAACTACAAATAAAATTGAAATTAAACTTAAAATTATTTAATAATGGATAATCAAATTTTTGAAAATGGAAATTAATAAATCAGAAAATCATAATATAATAAAAAAATTAAAATTGGAAGTGAATCCCTCAAACAGTGCTCCCTTTGTTGTTGTCACTTGAAGTCGTCCACAGCTTAACTGTTCTGGATCGATGTAACTGATGTAGTCCTGCCAGTGGCAAAGTGTATTCTCCCCAAATCTGATGAAGTCAAAAAAGTAAAAAAATGGCTCCTCATCCGCGGCTTCTCGTCTTGATCCACACAATGCTTCCACCCATAGTACTTAATGAACCTAAGCTCCTTGTTCTTCTCCACCTCTTCATATTTAATAAACCCAAGCTGCCCTTCCAGCTTTTTTCACATCCTGAAAAAGAATAAAGCTGGAAACCCTGTGGTAGAGGAGGTTAATTTGATCGATGTCTTTGAATTCGTGCCACATATTGTACCTTCCGACAAAGTCAAATGAACGCAACGGATGAGAAGCTTAGAGATTTTTTTTGTGTGAATGTAGTAGGTAGTTAAAATGTAGTTAGTTTTTGCAACAATTATTGTGTTGTTTCCAACTTTAATTATTATTACTTTGCATTTTTGGTGTTTGCTATGCTTTATTATTAACATGTATGTACAAATTGTGGTCCATCTCAATGCTAACAAGAACCTCCTTACTTCAAGCACGTAATGATTATATATGATTTGGTGTTGAGGAATCATCATGACAGGTTGCAGATTCAACAATTAAGGGTTTGTTTGAGTTTGCTATGTGTCATTATGGGCAAGAAATTATTAGCTTATCCTTTGCTTGGCATGTTATTTGTCTAAATCTTCATAGCCATTTGTTGTTGCGTGCACTTATCTCAGTAGCCATTCTACTTTGCATGACATTAAAGCAAATCTCATTTATGTTTTTTTTAAACACTCTTACATTTCATGGCTTTGCCCTCTACCTATAAATAAATTTATAAAACTACATTATGGACGCTGGTTATAAAACTTGCCTGATTACAATTTCACAAGATTTAATTATAGCCCTGTTTGAAATACAGTTCGGATCTCTTTTGTTTGACATATGAAATTGAATAACAAAATAGAGAAGTGAATCATCTTTTTTGTTCTTTGGATTTAGTGCATATTACTAAAGAAGAGTCTTTGCACATACTCCATCATCAAAGCAATGGGTTTTCTACAAGGATTTCAAGGTACAAAGGAGTTACACCGCTCAAATGTGGAAAACGGGAGGCTAGATTGGGTCAATTCCTTGGGAAGAAGTAAGATGTTATTTCCTTCGTTGTCATCATAATATCCTACAGTTTATAAGCTTTTAAATAATGCATGTTCTTATTGGTTAGCTTTTCATCTGCATTTTTTGTTTTCCAATGTTTTCACTGTCCATATTTTTTGCTTTCCAATNTACTAAAGAAGAGTCTTTGCACATACTCCATCATCAAAGCAATGGGTTTTCTACAAGGATTTCAAGGTACAAAGGAGTTACACCGCTCAAATGTGGAAAACGGGAGGCTAGATTGGGTCAATTCCTTGGGAAGAAGTAAGATGTTATTTCCTTCGTTGTCATCATAATATCCTACAGTTTATAAGCTTTTAAATAATGCATGTTCTTATTGGTTAGCTTTTCATCTGCATTTTTTGTTTTCCAATGTTTTCACTGTCCATATTTTTTGCTTTCCAATTTTTTGTTCTCTTTCATTTTTCATAGGCCAATGATGAAGCTACCATATCGGTCATGAGAATCTTGCAACCTGCAAATCCATCTGCTTTATTTTTACCCTATCAATCCAAAAAATGCATAACGTAAATAAATAATTTTAATATCTTAGTTTTTACATTGATGTAGATTTGCTAATTTTCAAAGTATCACATGTCGTGTTTTCTTCTTTTTTATCTCTTATTGACAAATGATTATGTACATGGTGATTTTTTAGGTTGTAAACACTATTTGCAGAGCCTATTTGGTGGATTCAAGCCTCAAAAGCCGTGATGGACTTGCCCATGATATTAAATTTTACAGCAACACAAACTCACAAAGGATTCAACATCGTTAGGGTAACACCAATAACTGGCTATGTGAAGTTTTAAATATCATGATATTGAGGATTCTCTTCCTTGCAATTTGCACCCTTGATTATATGCCTTGATTTTGATGAGCGTATGCATGTTACTCTATCTTAATATGTGTGAAATTAATCAAAGTAATTGTTGTGTTAATTGTAATTATTAGTTATTGTAGTGATTGAAATTGGATGGAGGTTGCTTCAAGTTATCCTTGTGAAGAATTGTGCGCGAATGTGTTGGCATGGTTTTTGTTAGGTTTCTGTGTGCTTTAACAAATTTATATATTGTGTTTAATAGAAGTGAGTTGTGCCCTAAAAGAGATGGTTTGGTATGCAGTTGGTGGAGTACAAAGGTGAATTGTTATTGTGTACTTAAAACCTTTGGTACGATTAGAATTTGTGATTTATGTGTTATGTGCAAAGGTAAGCTTTTGATTTGGTTGTATAATAGATGGAAAACTGAGTTTAACATATTTTCATTAAGGTTTTTTAGTTTAAGGGCATGTTTTGTGTAACACTTGAAATGTTTAGTTAGATGAAAGTTGTTACTCAAACGTCGGAAAACCACATGGTAAAGAGCATTCTCGAGAGAATGATTGAGGTTACGTCGGAAGGTACAATATGTGGCACGGATTCAAAGACATCGATCAAATTAACCTCCTTCTCTACCACAGGGCTTCCAACTTTTTTATTTTTCAAGACAAGAGCCTCGTCACCGCTAGGCCAGAATGCCCTCACCAATGCATGAAACGTCATCGGCACCGCATCGACTTCGATGGAGGAGACAAGCTCCTCTGCAATGGTCTCTAGTAGCGTCTCTCTAGGGTGAATCGCAATGGAGTCTCTCTAGGGTGAATCACAGTGGAAGAATCTGGATCGACGTAACTGATGCAGTTTTATCAGTGTCGAAGTATATTCTCCCAAAATCTGATGAAGTCAAAAAAGTAAGGAAATGGCTCCGCATCCACCAGCTGTGGCTTCCCGTCTTGATCCTTACAGCGCTTACACATAATACTTAATGAACCTAAGCTCCTTGTTCTTCTCCACCTCTTCATATTTTATAAACCCAAGTTTCCCTTTCAGATCTCCTGCACACATTTCTTTAGCAATGAGTAGATCGAACTTTCAATCGTCGTTGGCTTCCCGTGAAGATAGAAGGGGATGCCAAAAGAGAAAAAGATTAATAAATAATAAGACTGTTATAGTATAGTAACCGGCATAGTTAGGGTGTTTAGACGGCAAATATTTCCTCTTGCTTTTGTATAGAGTAAAATAATATAATGGTAAATATAGTCTCGTGACATTTTTCTTACTTCCTCTTCTTATATTTTTTTTAGAGGAAACCTTTGCTAGTCCTCAATGACTTATATTGTGTAAGCGATGTGACGCACGTCTAAAAAAATTTTGTGGACTTTTTGATTCCGGATGACGACAGGTGGGCAATGCTTATCTCATTGATGAGTAAGAACCCCACAATTGTTGAGATTCACGACGATTTAAAGCTTTTGGGTACATTTATCGAGGTGATAATCAATTCAAGACTTAATGAGTTGATGGTCATGCAAGGCATCTCTTAGGTTGTGGATCAGTTTTTTGAATTGATTCCTTATGCTTTGACAGTGCATGAGGAGAAACACTTACGGTAAGGAATGATTGAAATTTACGTGGAGTATTTTTTTCCCTTGTTTTTGTTTCCTAATTCTTTTATTATGACATAGGTACTTGTGCTATTTTATAACATAAAACCACATCATATATGATCTCGATGACATGGTTGGGTTTGTGAGGAACTAATGCAGTCTTGCCAGTGGCGAAGTGTATTCTCCCAAAATCTGATGAAGTCAAAAAAGTAAGGAAACGGCTCCTCATCCACGAGCTGCGGCTTCCCATCTTGATCCCCACAGCACTTACACCCATAATACTTAATGAACTTAAGCTCCTTGTTCTTCTCCACCTCTTCATATTTTATAAACTCAAGTTGCCCTTTCAGATCTCTTGCACACATCTCTTTAGCAATGAGTGGATCAAACTTTTCAATCGTCATGAAAACCCTCAGATTCCACACCTTCCTCACAAACCCAACCATGTCATCGAGATCGTATATGATGGGGTTCTTCATTATAAAATAGCACAAGTACTTATGTCAATATAAAAAAATTAGGAAATAAAAATAAGAAGGGAAAAAAATTACTCCACATAAATTTCAATCATTCCTTACCGTAAGTGTTTCTCCTCACGCACTGTCAAAGCACAAGTAATCAATTCAAAAAACGGATCCACAACCTTAGGGACGCCTTGCGTGACTGTCAACTCATTAAGTCTTGAGTTGACTATCACCCCGATAAATGTACCTAAAAGCTTTAAATCGTCGTAAATCTCAGCAATTGTGGGGTTCTTCCTTATCAATGGGATAAGCACTGCCCACCCGTCGTCATTCGGAATAAAAAAGTCCACAATTTTTTTGGACGTGCATCACATCGCTTCCACAATATAAGTAATTGAGGAGTGAGAACTAGCAAAGGTTTCTTACCAAAAAAATATAAGAAGAGGAAGTAAGAAAAATGTCACGGGACTATATTTACCATTATATTACCTTACTCTATACACCCTAACTGTCTCGGTTACTATACAATAGCAGTCTTATTAATCTTTTTCTCTTTTGGCATCTCCTTCTATCTTCACGGGAAGCCAACGACGATTGAAAAGTTCGATCCACTCATTGCTAAAGAGATGTGTGCAGGAGATCTGAAAGGGCAACTTGGGTTTATAAAATATGAAGAGGTGGAGAAGAACAAAGAGCTTAAGTTCATTAAGTATTATGGGTGTAAGAGCTGTGTGGATAAGAACGGGAAGCCGCATCTGGTGGATGAGGAGCCATTTCCTTACTCTTTTGACTTCATCAGATTTTGGGAGAATACACTTCGCCACTGGCAGGTCAGTTACGTCGATCCAGATTCTTCCACTGTGATTTACCCTAGAGAGACTCCACTGCGATTCACCCTAGAGAGACGCTACTAGAGACCATTGCGGAGGAGCTTGTCTGCTCAATCGGTGTCGATGCGGTGCCGATGACATTTCATGCATTGGTGAGGGCATTCTGGCCTAGCGGTGACGAGGCTCTTATCCTGAAAAAGAAAAAAGCTGGAAGCTCTGTGGTAGAGAAGGAAGTTAATTTGATCGATGTCTTTGAATCCGTGCCACATATTGTACCTTTCGACAAAGTCAAATGAAGGCAACGGATGAGAAGCTTAGAGATTTTTTTTTTGTGTGAATGTAGTAGGTAGTTAAGCTGTAGTTAGTTTTTGCAACAATTATTGTGTTGTTTCCAACTTTAATTATTATTACTTTGCATTTTTGGTTTTTTCTATGCTTTATTATTAACATGTATGTACAAATTGTGGTCCATCTCAATGCTAACAAGAACCTCCTTACTTCAAGCACGTAATGATTATATATGATTTGGTGTTGAGGAATCATCAAGTGTCCGGCTATTATAACTTGTGTGATTGACCTTGATAATTTTGAGGGTGCGGGTAGATTTTATTTTATGTGATTTGAGGGAATAGTTTGGTCATTTCGGTTATTTAATCAAGTAAACGCGCGTTTAGTCGACTAATTGCAAGAATTTAATGCTGGACTATTCGGCTAAATCATTATTTAGGCGGATAAGTAATGGGTTGAAGCATAATTGGGCTTATTTAGTCGACTAAAGATATAGTTAGCCGACTAGATCGGCAGTTTCAAATTTGGTTACCCAGATAGTCGATTAATTTCGTAACTAGTCGACTGTACACGGTTTTTCAGAATTGCGGCCGAGTTTGGTTTAGTCGGCTAACTACTAATCTAAAATAGGTCAGACCTGGTTACTTATTGGTCAAATCCAAGTCGGCTAAAATAGTCTCGACTCTAGAGCCGCTCTCCCTTCTGCCGATTCTCTGCTCCAATTCGTCTCTCTCTATCTGATTGAAGCTTCGCTGGTCCTACCGACACCAAGAAGAGAACCAATCGGCCAATTATTTGAATATTCGAGGTAATGCTTATGCTCTTAATCCTTCTATTTTCTTTTGAAGATGAGGAAACATTAGAGTCTTTCACAAAATTCTTTCTTCCTCGCAAGGTTATTTCACCCCGTTATGTTGATCTCTTTGAATTTGAAAAAGATGAATTTTTTGCACCGTATTTGTCTAGAGGTGTGCAAGGCGTCTAACAAATAATGGCAAAATTTGAAATTGAGTTGAAATAGCGTTACATTATGAAAATTTTTTGTACACTATTACTCTATGTAGCTTTTATATAATGTCAATTTAACTATGTAAATTCTTTATAGCTTTAAAAATTTTACGTTTGACAGAAAGAAATAAATTATATACCATACATTACTAGCATTCACAGAAGAAATAACTTATGAAAATGATGTACAACAATACACTATTGCCTTTTACATGGGGAAAAGAATTAATATACCCTTCCAATGTTGTAAATTTATGGTAATAAACTGAAGTTTATATAAACTTTTTTTATATTTAGGTTATTTACTTTCTTGTTTAGAAAGACATTGTCCGTATCAATTTCACTCTTTCTATGGAGAAAACATATTCCTTTTCCAATTGCTTTTGATATAGAGCCTACTCCTTTTTTGGTTATTTCCTTCCAAATTAATTCCAAAAAATATCAATTAAATTTTAATTTTCTTAGTTGTATATGGTAAAATGAAATTATTACTCCATATTTTTTTAGCAGTTTTCACACCCAATTCACCAAAACCAATTGTTCGCATGGTACATTTTCATGTGCAGTAGAGGCATCGCTGTTTGTTTAGAAATTTGTGGCGTTTGATTTAGTAATGACTGTTTAGAAATTTTTCTGAGAAACTGCAGCCCATTTGTTTATTTTGTTTTATTTTATGTTTTAAGAACTCTATTTCTCCTTGCTTTTGAATTTGAAATGTCACAGATCTGGTTAAGTTTTGGACAAAGTAACAAGGGAACTGGTTTGGCCTGCAAATATGAAGTGAATATAGAGGCTGGCGTTTTTATGGAGACAATAGATATGTTGCTTTTGCAAATGGTTGGGCATATTTCTTAAGGGTCTTTCCAGGGATACGTTTATTGGTTGTTCGAAGAGAACACTTTGCTGAAAACTATGAGTTTAAGAGGTTTGTTTTGGGTTTGATTTGAGATATGGATTTGGACAGTTACTGTTGGAAAATCAGCTTGGGTTATGGCCAACTGCTTTCTAATTTGAAGGCAGATCAATTTGAAAGCAGATTCTTAGGAAGATAGGTTAGGCAGATTAGCTTCCTGGTTGAGCTGATCTGTTGTGGCTTTTTGTTTCATAACAAGGGAATACTGTTAGGTTGCATATGCGCTTTGATTATTTGGTCTGCACTTTAGAAGGAAATACTTGAAGCAAATCTGTCAAAGAAGCAAAAAATAAAGTTCAAGTTCTTTCTTCCTCTTTACTTTTTTTTAGCAAGCAGGTGCGTAGGCTGATTTCTACTCTTGGTATGTGATCCACTGAGGCTTTCAAGGTCTTCAACAAAAGTCCTAGCTTGAACACAACACAAGGAGATGAGAGAATACCATGTGAAGATCTCTAGCAGGTTAAGTAGTGCTCAATATCATTTTTATTTTGTGTGAGTGGTATGTAGATGAAGAATATTACTGTGCTCAATATCATTTTTATTTTGGGCGAGTGGTATGTAGATGAGGAATATTACTAAAGAAGAGTATTTGCACATACTCCATCATCAGAGCAATGGGTTTTCTACAAGGATTTCAAGGTACAAAGGAGTTACACCGCTCAAATGTGGAAAACGGGAGGCTAGATTGGGTCAATTCCTTGGGAAGAAGTAAGATGTTATTTCCTTCGTTGTCATCATAATATCCTACAGTTTATAAGCTTTTAAATAATGCATGTTCTTATTGGTTAGCTTTTCATCTGCATTTTTTGTTTTCCAATGCTTCACTGTCCATATTTTTTGCTGTCCAATGTCCCTTTAATCAAAGTAAACGGACATCTAAAAATGATGGTGAAATCTGGACTATTTACTTTTAAAATTGTTCTGTTAATTGTAATTATTAGTCATTCAAGTTATGCTTATGAAGAATTGTGCGCGAATGTGCTGGTATGGTTTTTGTTAGGTTTCTGTGTGCTTTAACAAATTTATATATTGTGTTTAATAGAAGTGAGTTGTGCCCTAAAAGAGATAGTCTGGTATGCAGTTGGTAGAGTACAAAGGTGAATTGTTATTGTGTACTTAAAACCTTTGGTACGATTAGAATTTGTGATTTATGTGTTATGTGCAAAGGTAAGCCTTTGATTTGGTTGTACAATATATGGAAAACTGAGTTTAACATATTTTCAATAAGGTTTTTTAGTTTTAAGGGCATGTTTTGTTGAACAGCTCAAATTTTACCTAAAACAAATGTTGTGCCCCTACAAATAACATTTGTATAACACACTACAAATATTACTTGCACATAACCCAAGCCCGGGTAGTTATTATTACTTAATGACAGTGTTTCCAATTGCTTTTGATAGTGTTTCCTACTCTTTTTTTTGTATTTCTTTCAAAAGTAATCCCAAAAATATCAATTAAATTTTAATTTTCTTAGTTGGATGTGGCATAATTAAATTATTACTCCATATCTCGTATATAAATAAAATGCACAATTTTCTTTAAAAAACTCAAGCATAAATAATACAGTGTTTTATTTGTGGACGGAGGGAGTAGTTTATAAAAAAGTTTTTCAAAATTTCTAAGTCATAAGATATTCATGTTTTAAAATAATGAAAAACCTTATATTTCATCATATGGTCTAAATTTTTATTTCAATAATAACACCAATATATATTCATAACGTAAATATGAGTGATGCAACACACAGATGTGATACTAGTTACCTCTCTAATTTATGTTAAATTGCATCCCCGATAATGCATTGCGTTAATTAATACTTCATTTCTCATTGAACATCATGCTTTCCTATTTTCAGTTGTCATAGTAAGTTATCATTTTAATTAAAAAAGAAGTGAGTAGTTTATATTACTGCACAAGTTCATATTAAAAGGATGGAGTCATGGTGACTATAATTGTCTCCTAACATGTAAAGTCTCTAATTGTCAAGAATTGAAATCGAGTTTACTTAGATCCCGTTTGGTACATGGAATTCAAATTATGGAATTGGAATTGGAGACTTCAATTCCAATTCTGGTGTTTGGTAACACAAAAATTATGTGGATTTGGAATTGATAGTGCAAAAAACGAATTAAAATTGACAGAATTCAATTTTATGGAATTGAATATCATGAAATTTCAATTCCAATTACATCAATTTCTTATACCAAACGGACCTTTAGTCAATTCATCAATTGTTAATAATGAACTCTGTTAAACCTCTTTTAACACCTCTCTTTAACTTGTGTCACGCTTCTCACAAATAATACTCACATTAAATTAAAAGATCATGTTACAGTCACACCAGGGTTCATACTAAGATTGACGTTGTCAGTGTTTTATAGATAATGCTCCTTCTATCCCAATTTATAATGTCTGTTTACTAATCCCTCCGTCCTAAAACTTTCTTCCCAAAGCACTATTCCAACTTCACGGGAATTTATATTTATTTGTGTTTTTTCATGGCCTATATGGTAAAATAAAATATTCTTGTCACCATTTGTTTTGTTGAACTTTTGGTGTAGTTTTTAAATATGTATGTTTTATTTTTTATTTCTATACCAATATTTAAATAAAATAGATTGAAAAAACTTGGAATTTTTTTTCGTTTTGCGAACCGGGAAGATCATTATAGTACGGAGAGAGTATTTACATGATCAAACTTTATTCATTTTTTTTTTCTATTTTCGTTAGTAATTTGATAAAATAAAGTACTATTGTTACTACTAGTTTTGTAGATCTTTTGATGTAGTATTTTAATATGTAACTTTTATTTTTTTAACTCTATACCATTTGTCATATAAAATAATTTGAAAATAAATTTAGTTAAACATCGTAAACCAAAACATGCAATATAAATTAGAATGGAGAAGTAATTGTTTTTAAAATGAAAAATGGAAACATATTATATTCTATACACGACTCTCTATGGTATTAAAATACTCCCTTTCCCTGAATTAATTGTCTTAATTTAACTTTACAAAATTGAAGAATTTTTTTTTTAAAAAAAGTACAGAGTAAGAGGAAAAGACTAAAATATGAGTAAAACATTAAAAATATACTCCTCCGTCCCGTTTTAGATCGCCCGTTTTGACTTTTGGGCATATTTAAGGAAAATTAAAAATAGAGTTAATTTTTCGAAATTGTCAATACTTTTTAGGAGGGATAATGATGAATGAGAATATAATGTGGAGAAGATTGACTTATTTTAGAGGTAGTTTAAGTATTTTATTTTTAAAAGTTTACGAAAAACAACTAATAGGCAACTTATTTTGGGACGGAGAAAAAAGGCAAACAAACAATTTAACATGGGACGCAGGTAGTACCAAAATAAGAGTTTTATGTTTTTATTTTTCAAAATAAGAGTTAAAAATCAATTACATTACCAAAACGTATAATAGTATGCACATGTACAGTGCCACATTATCACAGCATGAACTCTTATTTAAGGAATGAACATATGAAACATCTATTTTGTTACTTTTTCTATGTTTTACTCATATTTAGGTTGATTTCTTACCGAGTAATTGGTGAAACTTTATTTAGGAAAAAAGAAAGAAAGATTGTGTATTATGAACTTTTCCATAAATTTAGAAAAGTGAAATTCCTAATACTGAATCTAAAAAGTTCACTTATTCTTTACTCTATTATATAAAAAAAGGTACAGAGTAATTATTTTGGAACAAATTCAAAAGCCACATTTTTAATAAATATAAAATAAAATTTACAAATGGCAAAACTCTCAAAAGGTGCAAAAATTCTTATGCGCAGATAGGAACTAGGACGTCTTTGGTTAGTCGGGCCATGACTTTGGATATGTTCGATATCAAGTTTAATGTTTGATATCGAATACATTGCAATACGAAATCTCTCTATTTTCGAATGGGGCGTGCTTCTTCCCTTCTTCGTTCATAAAACTCGATTCTTTGTCTCCGGCCGATGCTTAACAATCTCATGATCTTCTTCATTCCCAACTTCACCGCCTACTTCCGATGAGACACAGGCCAAGATCAGTGCCTAGAACGAACACCAATAGGTATGGTTTTGTGTCGATCTAAGATTGAAGAGGACTTGTCAATATTCTTTTGTTCTCTTTTGTTCGTACTCGATATTTGCCTTTTTGGTCCAAACTCCAAAAAAAAATATAAACGACAAATGTATAATCAATACCCAAATTCAAGTTCTAACAACAACAATAAAGGGCAGAATTCGGGCTCACCTGTACCATAGACATATTTCACTCCTAATTTGTCATACTACAGAGCTGCAATTATAGACCCAATATACAACAATGGTTAGATATGGCATTTGCTATCTACACATATACATTCAGTTTCACAGTATATATTTTGTGGATGGACCAACCACCTCTAGTCACAAATTTTTGAGAGCCACTTGGAATAGTGTAGCTAAAAAAAGAAGGGCTACAATACGATTTCATAATAGAAGACAAAAAGAAAACTCAAGTGTTTAAATGTCAAGAGGGTTAAGGTACACATATAAACCGACATAGGCCTACTAGAACGGTAGAGCTAGACGACAACAGTTGAAATATCAAAAGTTTGAGGGGATTCGATGAATTTTCATATTCAATGGAGAAATGCAACTACAACACGCATGCGATATCTTTACCGGAAAAATATTGGAGTCCAATATGGGTAATGATCAAGGAAAATTACAACTTGAAGACGGATACTGTGAGCGTTAGAGGAGATAAAGTCAAGAGAATGCTTCTCCTCACCAAATGCGGACCCCATCACACCCATGTTCCTTCTTCTTCTCATGTCCGAGATCTCTCACGCGAACGGCTGCATTCCCACATCATAACATGAGCCATTTGAAAATTACATGCACGGTAAAATCCCATAAAAATAGGGTCTAAGAAGGGCAAAGCTTACCCCTACTTGAAAGTAGGTACCTCAAAAAGGCAATGGCACTGCAATGTCAACCAGAGCCAGTGGCTCTAAAATCGTTCCAGAAGGATATAATCAAATGATGAGTTAATACCCGCAAAAACAATCTCTGCCCTATGCAGGCAGGAGTAAGGTCTGCTCACCCCCCCCCCCCCCCCCAACAAAAAAAAACTCTGTGGTATTTTATTGGGTAGTTGTTGATGAGTAACCCAGTTTAGTTACCCCACAAAAGGGGCTATCTTTCAGGGACCCAATTTGTTCCTCCAATATGTAACTTGAGCCCAACTTACATCTCATCCATATTTGGCTTAAATAAAAAGGGTATTTTTCATCAATTAACAAAATATGGACCAATAATAGAAGTCAGATTTGGTCCCCATCAATGCATATTGGAACCAATTTAGATATTCATTGGTAAAAGTGCCCTTCATAAATAGACTAAAGTATGTCTGACAACTAAATTGAGTGGGAAGAACATTTTAGGACGGAGGGAGTAATTGAGTATTGTATACTATAAAAAAACCAGATGTAATATTTCTTTAAAAAAAGATAGTGTTGCATTAACCTGCGGTATCTGTCATTCCCAGGGCTTCGCTGCAACTCTCCAGCCTCAGGACTTTCCCTGGGTGGTGGGATTGGTTTCCTGGAAATTGGAATAGATCCTTGTCCATAATCAGGGCTACCCCTGTCCCTACGATATGGACTTGGGGAACGTCTGCGATCATATCCTCTTCTGTCAGGGGAGAAGTCATGCCCTCTTCTATCTGGACTGTAACCGTTTCTTCTGTTATCATCATCTCGAATTGCAAATTCGACCGATATTTCTTGGTCCATTAATGTGCTGTGTATTGGTCATAAAAATATCCAAAATCAATAAGACCTTTAGTTCTTTACGCCCTTCTGGTTTTTGGAAACAATAAAAATGCATCCCCAAAATACATACAAGAATGCTATCATCCTAGTAACATCTAACTTTAGAATGCATATAGATCTCAGAAAATGATTTAAAAAAAGTGAAAAAAAATTGTTATAGAAGACTATCTTCTGTTTGGATTTACATTAAAGTATGAAGCACAATTTTATACAACACATGAAAATGAACTTAAGAAACATGTAAAATAAAGTTGTTGGGTTTAGCAAATCTTTTATTTCCCCTTACATTTTCTTTCCATCAATTCTTTTCAAACATTTTCCGAGTTCCGAAGGAGCCTTAAAGTTAGTAATTTACCGTTTTATTAAATTCATACGTAGTAAATGAGAAATAAAAGACAAATATTCATCAAAATCCCCTAACAAACCTCAAATGTGTCGCCTCCAGCGCCCTAATGGCATCATCTTCAGATTCATATTGAATAAAAGCAAAATTCCTCCTAATCCTGACATTCAGTAGCTTCCCATACGGTTCAAAATGCCTCTCTAGGTCCCTAGTCCGTGTGGCAGGGTCAAAGTTGATCACAAACAATGTTTTTGAAGGTCGAGCTGATGATCTCCTTTCATTCCTGTCAGGCTTCCTAGAACCACGTTCTTGCTGCAACAAAAAAATAAAGAGCATATGCAACTCTTTATACCATCAGAAAGGGTGTTTGGGTCCCAAAAATGCCAGGTAAAAAATGTTATCAAGAAAGTAATTTTCCTATGATTGGTTTTACTTCTGAAACATGCAAAAGATAATGATCAATGTTTTCAATTTTTTATTAAATATACTTAGATTTAGATGTCTTTTATGATTTAAAAAAGAAAATTATGACTTTGAGCAAATCTCAAAAACAAATAAGGATTCAGTTATTCTTTTAATTTTCCAAATATATTCAACAATTCGAAGTTTTTCCTCTCTTATGTCTTTTCAGAGTATTTTCCAGGTTAGAAACAGACCCATACAGTTTGACTACTTCGACTTCAAACGGGACTGTAACTGCCACAAAATCTCTTGGTTTTTAAGACCAAAAAATTGGAGCCAAGAACATTAATGACCAGCAGACCTTGCTCCACTCCACACTTAGTCTTCGCCGCTTTCTACCAAACTCAATCCTGTCAAGTCTTCTAATTGCATCTTCAGCATCGCGTTCATCTTCCATATAGATAAACGCAAAACCTATAATTTCAAAAATGTTAGGGTTCAATTGGATGACGGAAAATGCTAGCAAGAGAAAATACGGAAGCATATACAGGGGAAATTGGAAGAAAGAAAATGTAGGGGTAAAATTAAACATAGGCTCAAAGTTCAAACTCAGTATACTTTTATGCACATTGCCAATGGAGATAAAAGAGTTGTAACTGACAAATTTCAGTTTACAGTAAATAAGATTAGATTAAAATGGCGCATTACACTTCCCATCTTACTTTCAATAAAGTTTAGGCTAGTAAACAAAGCAATGCATCAAGGGTCTAACAACAAAAATCTCATGATTAATAAGAGGCATAAGGTTGCATATATTTTGACCCCAAGACCCAAACGGAGTTGAGATTAGCCTCGGTTGTTGTTGAGTTGTTGTCGTCATCGTCTTATATACAAACTAAGGAATCTAATCATATGCCAGATGCATGGAAACATTACAAACATCTACAATACTGCCTCCATCCCAAATTTAAAGGGAAAGTCTGGTTTACAATATTTAACTAAACTTATTTTTAATTCAATTTATCTCAAAATTGGTGTAGAAATGAAAAAATAAAAATTAGATATTAAAAACGCATTTAGAAACCTATACAACAAAAGGTGACATGAATATTTATTATTTTATCAAATGAGTAACGAAATAAGAAAAGAAAGTGAATAATGTTTGACCCTATGAATAGTGTTTACCCCTTTTATTTTTGGACGGAGAAAGTATTTTTTATTTTCCTATGCATTTTCCACGGTAAAAACAAACACAAATTATTTTTCCTTGCATTTTACACTTCCCCTGGCATTTTCAGTGGTCCAAAGTTCAAACAGGCCCTTAAGGATCAATACAGTATATTGATCAGGTATCCAAATACCCATAAAAAATACTCCGTAGGTCAATATGTTTCATTTTCAACACACTTGACTACAAAATGCTAAATATCAAACTCACCCCTAAAACTCTCAATGATCGGAGGGTAGAGAGGAGAAGAGGAAAATGAAAATTCTGGATTAACTCAAGAGCTGCAACAGGATCCAAGATGCTCAAGCTATTTATGCTGAAACAAGTCAGAAATGGACATGATTGAGCAAATTCATGAGGAATGCTAGGGGCAGTGGTCTGAGGAAAGTGTGTGATGGTAGGAGCATAGCAGATCGGAATGATTCCCTGAGATGGAAATAAGAAACACAGAATATATATCAGAAATCGAGATTTAGTTGAGCAGATCCTGCCACAGTGGTAAAGACATAACCCAACAACAACAGCCTAGTAAAATATCACAGGTGGGGTCTGTGTAAGGAGGTAAAGACGTAACCCATTTCTATATAATACGCAATTTATCTTTTATTTAATGATTAGTGAGGAACAACTGACTAGGAAAATATGATGTACTTCATCCACACTCCTAATGCCTTAAATAGTTAAAATATTTAAATCTTAATCCCACACAACTACACAAGCACAACTTACAACTGCTCTGCAATGCCTGTCTTCTTGATCATAATTAATGACTCCGCTAAATCCCCAAGGCACATACCAAAAAATAAACAGATCGCAAACCTAAACATAAGATAGGATGTGCGGGATTTGTGGCGGGGTTTATAGGATGTGAGATGGAGAGCAACAGCTTGGGATTAGGTTTTTATCGGTATTATTTCCAAAGTTAGTGTTGGTGGTGGATAGTGGTCTATGAAAATAGCTTATAACGATAAGCACAACTGTTATGATACTCCACCTTTTCAACTCTCGAATGTCCAACAATGAAAATATAGCCATACGGGCAAATCAAACTAAAAATACTCCGTACTTCACAATTTCCACCGAGTCACTTATCACAAAAATAATACTCTGAAATAATATTTCCCCCCATCCCAAACATTCTCATGCTTCTTCGACCATAAGAAAGATGCAGTAAAGACCTAGCGAAGCAATCACAATAGCATCGCACTATAAAAGGCTTGCAAATACAACTGACAGACTTGATGTCATTTGAGCAGTTTGATCTCAGATGACCTTTTTTTAATGGGTGGGGATGAACGCACGACTATTAGCCCCTGACAATAAAGTCATACCGCAAGAATAATGCAGAAAAAACAGATGGAAAAACAAAACCTGATGACAAAATAATCTAAGACTTAACAGATGGAAAAGCAGAAATGAAATTCCACAGCATACCTGATTTCAAATCAACTCTTTCAACCCTTCCATATTTTCGAAATAGCCGTTCCACATCTGACTCTCGAGCATCAAAATCCAGGTTTCCACAAAAGATAGGCTTCATTTTGCAATGAATAACCACTCAACAGCTCTGTCCCTGAAATCAATAACATCTCATTTTATCCAGGCTTCAACACCATATCACCAGTACTTCGATTTCCTAACTCACCCTAGTCCATACCACTACACATTTTCAACGCAAAAAAGGTAAAATCCAATGTCTGATTACGCTATCCGAGTCGAGCAGTAAATGGATTGATTAGAAATGGAATCTCTCGTTCAAAAAAGTCTTGAACCGATCGTATCTAAAGATGCCGAGATTCAAGATCATTCCAGAGAGTGATCATCAACTGCGAGAGAAAGAGAGGGCATTTGCAGCAGCGTACCTTGTTCCGAAGAAGATGAAGCAGGGCGAGCGGGCGAGCGATCGTCAATCCTGATTCGAAACCCTACCGTACGACGGGCTGGGTTGACGACGGCGCATCCTTAACGGGTACGAGCTTCGTAAATCGTAATGATCGATTTCGGGGAACCGGCTGGTTGCTTTTTGGGCTTATAGTACCTTGGCCCATTTGTTACGTTTTAGGCAAGTTTTGTGACTTCTGTCTTTGTTTGCATATCTTTTTAGAATGTTGCTAAATCCATCTTGATTTTAGCTATATTCACACTTTTTTGCTAAAACAGAAAAATTTATTCAAAAAAATATATAAAAAAGATGAGATGCATGTGAACATACGTAAAGGTAAACTTGTTTATTTATCATAAATGGTATGAATTTAGTCATATGAGATATGAATTTACAAAGATAAAAGAAATATTCTATCAATTAGTGGTCACAATGTCCAAGCTTTATGGAATGGGGTGTTGGGCCTTAAGAAGACCCATTGCACATTCGTCAATTGTATGCAATAGAGATGAGGTGGTCCAGGAACGGGTGGGAATGACAAGGTTGAGATGGTTTAATTTGGTCATGTGAAGTGGTGTACGGTTGAGACCCTGATGCAGAGATACGAGAAACTAATTATAGTAGGCGGGAGTGGATGAAGATGTAGACCTGTATGGAAATTAAAACTAAAAGAAAGTGATCGGACAGAAATTAGGACTTCTCGCCATTACCGAGGATATGACATTAGATATGAACATCTAGAGGTTTGGGATGTTTGGACCTAGATCTTTTTGCTTGAGTTAATTGTGTTCCTTTAATTTTGCCTCTTTCCACTCTTCTTAACTTTAGTTGCTCTTTATTTTTCTTGAATGGTATATTCTTTTCTTTTTGTCTAAGCTTGGATATTTTGAAAATAATTATCTACTTTAATTCTGGATAAGGTCTATGTATATACTTTCTCCTTAAATCATACTTTTGTGCAATTCTACTAGATTGTTGTTATTATATTGTTGTAAGTTTATTGACATGAGTTCATATATAGGGGGGGTCTTATAATAGATATTAATGATATAATTCATATTCTTCTGATTGATGAAACACATATGAGACATAACGACAAATTATAAGTATGTGAGAAGAGGGGTCAATATTGGAATCAAAAGTTTTAAATTAAGTCAGACCAAGACCGAATACATATATAAAATGCTAATACTTTAGTGGTACCCGGAACAATTAAGTTGATAATAGATATTCATGCAGATATAATTAATATTGTTCTGATTGAATTGATGAATTGAAACGCATGGGAGACATAATGACGTAGTATAAGTGCGTGGGAAGACATTAATTTTGGAATCAAGTTTTAGATCAAACAAGACCGAGGCCGAGTACATAGAATGCCACTTTAGTGGTAGGCCGAACAAGTTCATTGAAAGTGGATCAAAAGTGAGGACATTTCACATCGAGTGACTCAAAGAGTCTTTCTTGATTTGATTTTTTGTTAAATTGTGACACTCTTGCATGGGTGGCTCGGAGGGTGTGCAAGGTGGTCACCCATATAGGGTCCCCAAATTTTCAGGGCCCAATATTGTTAAATACTCCCTCCATCCCATAAAGTGTTACCCATTTTGACTAAAGTTGAAATTAAGAGAGGGATAATTTTGTGTTGACTTTCCAAAAATACTTTTGATGTGATGGGTAGAAGTAGGATGTGATGTGTAGATTATTAGGAAAAAGGTATGATGTGATAGGTAGGGTTTGAAAAAGTAAGGGATAAAAGTGGTTTTTTAATAGAAATGGGTAAGGGATTGTGGGACACAATTTTTTTGAAACGTGTAAATCTTTTTGGGACGGAGGGAGTATTTAGTATTTTAACTATTTGATATTTTTAAATTTAATATAAATTTATATTATTTTATTATTCAAATTGTTATAAAAAGTAGTTTTTACAAATCAACTTTAGCTCTAATTTTAAAGCACAAACACTCTAGAAAAAATAAAATATATAGGGCTCAACACGTGATACTAAAATAGTTTTATTAGATTTATTGTCATAAATATTTTCAAAATATTATTTTACATAATTAGTATACAATATATATTTTATTTAATTATATATAGGTCAAATATTAAAAATGGTTAACTGAAAAAAGTCTAAACTGGACAAATACAATGTGTACATGATATGCCTGTTTCGTTTTCTTTGTTAGAACATTAATTAGAATGCATAAAGCATTGGATACCATAATGCAAATGCAAATCTAGAATATATTGGTCGGTAGATGTTGAAGGGGACAAGTTTTAATTTCTGAGGCTATAATATTATTTAATTAATTATTTGTTTGTTTACATTATCAGTAATGAAAAATTTGCCCATGCATGAACGAACAATAACTCACTCCGTAATGTATATACGGAGTATATTATTAAAGGAATAGTTATGGAGGACAACAACAGTTTTCATCATTTTTTATATATCGATCAATAATTATTTTTTAATTAATTATTACTACCTTCTTCTGAAAAACGACTTCCAATTTGAATTTCATGATGATTAAGCTAGCTAAGAAAATGATTACTTGCCCATATTTATTTTTGACATCGTATTACAGATTTGGTTTAGAATCATATGAAGTTGATGAATCCCTAATATTCTTATACCCCTATTGGAAAATCTAAGGTCTAAATATTAATGATGTGAGCCTTGTAATAACAATGAAACAATAAGAATATTAGAGTAATTAAGTAATCGGTATCCCCTTTTCTAAGCCATCCGTCTTAAGATTGGAATATTCTCAAGAAACACCGGAATATTAATTATTAGTCTATATAAAGCTTCCTTCCCTCAAGTTACAAGGTGACCCTCAAAGGTATCACCACTTTGTTTATACAGGAGGCTTCCCTAACCACCATCCTATCAATATATCTTCCACTGGTTGAGAAATGATCAGGGAGACCTCATTGTCCTTCCTTGATATTCTCATCCACTATAAGTCATTAAAAGTTAAAATTGGATCAGTGGACAGATATTTTCCATCCATTTGTCTCAAAACCTGACAGGAGGACATTTGCCCACTTCTTTAGAGGAGGCGTTGCCCTAATCTCATGGAGACGAGCTGTCTCACTCATAATTTTGTGGGAATGTTTTGGGAAAGTGAAAAAATGAAAGAAAAAATGTTAAAAAATGAAAAAAGTATTGCATACTAATATCATATGGATTCTATATTGAAATATTTATTTTGTATTTAATTAATGATGAAATTCAACTAATTTAAGTATTTAACTATAAAAAATGAAATTGATCGAATCAATATAGTTGGACCAGGGGATCGGAATATAGAAATATTTGCACTAAATAGCACCAAAACTTAAGTCATTTCCCTAAATAGCACTTAAACTGTTTTATTCTCTAAATAGCACTTAATAATGTCCATAATGTCTTGTGATGGCGAATATTTGCTTGAATAATGACTCATGCATAATGACTAAAAGTACTCATTGGGAAGAAAAACACATGTGGTGCTATTTAGGAAAAGTCATTATGTTTTAGTGCTATTTATGTAAATTTCTCATATACACATACCTACATTATCATTGTCCAACATCTTTCAACAACACATAACGGGTCTTAAAAAATTACCGAGTATATTAAATTAAATACTCCCTCTTTATTAAAAATACTTTTTATTTTCTTTTAGTAACGTTCTAAAAAAGCATCATTTTTTTTATGAAAAACTTTGAATAGTTCACAATCTTAATCTCATTTGCATCACTTTCAATCATACATTTTAATTTCACTCTTCATAAACTTTGTGTCAAGTCTAACTGAAAATCTTTTGTATTAAACAAAGGAATTAATAAACAATCTGCCAAGATCTTTATTTTTTTTTGATACGAAGACCTTTAATTTATTAGTGATAAAAAACAAATTAAACAACTCTTTATGAATGAGGAATGGGATTTGCCTATATTATTAGCAAAAAACACAATTCTATATATATAGAATATATAGAACGTACATACCATGCATGCACCTACATGATCTTTGTCCTCCCCACCGGTGGCTTATGATATTTAGAGCCTGTTTGGGAATAGCTTTAGCGATTAGCGTTAGCGTTTTAAAAAGGCTATCAACGGGCAGCGTTTAGCGTTAGCATTTTCAAAGTAATCTACACCGTTAAAATTTTATCCAAAACGCTAACGCCAATCTCTAACGCTATTCCCAAACATGCCCTTAGTCCATTACACTTATAATATACAATTAATACAAAGCAACTAGCAAGTAGTCCCTTTGTCCAATAAACATGTTTTCATTTTGACTTTGAGAAAATTTAAAATAATGATATTTTTTATGTGGACTTTTCAAAAATACTCTTGATGTTATGCGTATAGGTAGAATGTGATCGATAAATTATTAATAAAAAGATATAATTTGATAGAAAATAAAATAATTTTGTGGGACAAGAAAAAAAGAAAGATGGAGTTTTTGAAACGGACAGAGTATAATATAATCTACCTCTCATAATTAATCATGTTTAAACTTTTCTTATTTGTCCATAACAAATTAAAAATACCCGTACATTTTTCTCTTTTCATTTAATTTTTTGAAAAAATTATCCAGAATATTCTCAACTTTTAATTACTCAATCTTTTAAAAATAATCCAACTTTTCATTGTGATGCATAATAATCTCATTTTTACTAAAATTTGTGAGTTTTGGGTCACCGCTAAGTTGCTAACGGCGGTTAACGGAAATAGTCTGTTTTGCGCAACAAAATGAAATTAAAGTTGAGATTATTTTTTATGAATTTTCATTTTTTAATTATTTTGAAATTTTTATTTAAAATTTTAAAATAACTTCCTACCTCCATCATTTTTTTCCTTTTTTGAAAAATTGGTCTTAGTCTAAAAAAATAAAAATAATAGATATAAAAAATAAAAAAAATGAGAAAAGTAACTAAAACGATACAAAATTAATAAAATAAATAAGGTAATCAATAGAAGCTAACTTGAAACTAGTAAGAAATAGAAAAAAATATACGGAGTGGTGAGTTGTCATAATTTAGGAACTATGCAAAGTATTAATGTACGACCTCTTCTTTTTTTTTAGAAAAATTTATCTCAAACAATTCCAACTTTATTGATCGGCTTGCTCTTTCAAATAAATAAGTTATACATTAAGATTCTTTATATTGCTTTAGGTGTTAAAACTCATCACTCCATATATATTTATTTTATTTCTTACAAGTTTTTATTTAATTTCTATTGATTATTTATTTAAATCATTAGTTTTGTGTTATTTTAGTTAATTTTCTAGTTTTCTCTTTTTTTATAAAGTAAGACTGATCTTTAAAAAAAGAAAAAGAAATGAGAGTATAAAGTAAGTAATTTTAAAATTTTGAATGAAAAATTCAAAAAAAAAATTAAAAAATAAAAATTCATAAAAAATAATCTCAACTTTCATTTTCTTGCGCAAAACAGACATTTTTGTTATCCCGCCTTTAGCAACTTACCAGCGACCCAAAACTTACTAATTTCAGTAATGTTGATATTATTATGTATCACAATGAAATGTAAAATCATTTTTGAAAAAGCAGGTAAAATTGGGATTATTTTTGATAATTTTTATTTAATTTTTAAATAAAAGTAACACCATGATTCAGGCATTCAATTGAAAATTGTCATTTTTTCAACTCCTCATTCATGAAGTCACAAAATGTACACCTCTTTTTGAGACATAGGTCTCATTTGGAAACAACGTTAAACTTTAGCGTTACTATTATGCAAAAGTCATGAAATGATAGTTTCTAACATTAATATTTTCAAAATTAATATACACTATTAAAATTTATTCAAAATGTTAATATCAATAAAATACGTTATTTCCAAACAAAGCGAGAGAAAGGGTGCATGAGATTAGTTCCTTTTTTTATTTTGAAAAAATCTCAACCACGGATAAGTTTTTTTTAATTAATTGCAATTTGCAATGTCCTGTCAAAATGACAATAATCAAGAGAGAAAGTTGCACTTAACTTTCGTCCCGATTTGCTGGGATTGTGCCACTTTAGTTAGACACATAAATTGATAATTTATTGCAAATTATGTGATTAATATTTTTGCAGAATATACTAGTTCTAAATTAATGTTTTCATTTGATGTTTTAGAGCCAAAATTATATTTGCTTTCCTTCTGTCCAAGTTGGGGTTTTTTGGAAACATTCTATTCACACACACACATACATACTCCATCCATCCCCATGTTGATTACAAATTGGGGTTTACGAGGAGAATTATCTCATTTTTTGAAATCATTTTATTTACAAATTGGTATATCGATAAGAAACAAAAATTACATATTAAAAACTACGTCAAAAGTTCTACAAAACAAGAGGTGACAAGAATATTTTATTTTATCAGATGCTTAATGAAATCACGTAAACAAACAAAAGTTATCGAAAGGAGAGAAAAAATTGCAATCAAATTGGGGACGGAGGGAGTATATATTATCCAGTATAATCACAACTTTATTCGGTCTTTAAAAATTAATCTCATTTTCACTCTATTGCATAATAATCTCAACTTTACTGAAAATTGCGAGTTTTGGGTCACTGTTAAGTTGCTAACGGCTAGTTAACGTAAACGGTCTGTTTTGCGTAATAAAATGAAAGTTCGGATTATTTTTAATGCATTTATGTTTTTTAATTTTTTAAAATTTTTAACTTAAATTTTTACAATGATTTTCTACATCCATTTGTTTTTCTTTTTTTAAAAATTAGTCTCACCTTAGAAAAAATAGATATAAAAATAGCAAAAATGAGAACAATAACTAAAACCATAAACAATTAATAAAATAAATAAGGTACCAATAAGTTAAACTGAAACTAGTAAGAAATAAAATAAAAATACGAGTGGAGGTTTCTAACATTTTATGCACTATACAAAGTATTAATGTACTACTTATTTTTTGAAAGAAGCCTAACGAGTAAAGTTGAGATTATTCTAGATATTTTTTCCTAAAAATAAAAAGAAGTGATTCATTAATGCTCGCACATAAAATGTTACAACCTACCACTCGTACATTTTTATTTTATTTCTTACCAGTTTCAGATTAATTACTATTGATTACCTTATTTATTTCATTAATTTTGTTTTGATCGTTTTAGTTATTTTTCTCATTTTCGTTATTTTTATAGTTTTTTAATTTTTACCCAAAGATAGACTAATCTTTAAAAAAAGAAAAAGAAGTGATGGAGGTAGAAAGTTATTTTTAAAATGAAAATTTCAAAAAAAAACAAAAATTCATAAAAAATAACCCGACTTTCATTTTGTTACACATAACATGCCGTTCTCGTTAACCCGACGTTAGTAACTTAATGACAACTCAAAACTCGCAAATTCCAGTAAAGTTAGGATTATTATGCATCACATTGAAAAGTAAGTAAGATTGTTTTTGAAAGATCGTGTAAAGTTGGAATTATTCTGAATAATTTTTCCTTAACTAGATAATATTGTAAATTTGATGAACTTCTCCCCTAGCTTGAGTGGTAGGAAGCCGACTCTCCAAAGTTCATAGGGAAGTTCACCCAGATTCGAGCTCTAGCGGAGGTAGAGGCATTGACTGTTTGTGTGTTATTAAGTTGAAAATAATATAAACAGATCAGACATTACCTTGTAATAAAGTCAATAGTACTAAAAAGTATTGTAAAAATTTGATATCATTTTTTAAAGAGGTATTTGGTATAATTTGATTGATCTTGAAATGAAAATTTGAGATTACATAGTTTTATTAAAATAAAATAACACTCCGTGTATAACCATATATATTAATGATCAAAATATCACATACGTGAAAAAGCAAATGGGAACATTATTTTGGGATAGTATTCAAAAGTTTCAAAAGGGAAAAATGTAGTTAGAGAGAATGTCATGTGTTTAACGTGAGATTTTTTTGAAATGATATGAATATGATGGATTGGAGATAGAATTGAATTGAAATAATATACTCACCCAACTTGTTCAAACTTCAAAGTTTACATTTTCTTTTTCATTCGTCTATTTATTTTTTAAAAAAATTACCTTCCTTTTTCCAAATGAGGATCAAAATACATCATTCAAATTATTTTTTTCTCTTGAAATTTCAATCATCCACTTTTTTTAGTTGTATATTATTATTTTTTTCTTTGAACCCACCAAAAGAAAAAAAGACAATCCTCAACAAATTGAGGCGTGGGGTTGTATTTTAAAGAAGTTCTTGAGTCCATCATAACTAGAGAGAGACTAGCTGGTACACATACTATACATACATACACTCATACATTTTTACCCCTTACACTATTATTTTGTTCATTCTTCAGGGTTTATATTCCTAATGGAAACCCTAATCAACCGGAAAACCGTCCGTCCGACGTCGTCCGGCGACGGTTATAAGCCACGGCGGTTGCTCAAGGATTTCCTGAATGAGGACGATTATCATCACCATCCAAAAGAGTCATCCAAACTTATGGCGGCGGCGGCGGCCACCTCCCGAGGCGGCCGCTCTAAGACGGCGGCATCCACCGCCATCTCCGCCATTCCCAAGGCGATGCTCAGCATCGTTGTGAGGCTCATTATACCCTTTCGTGCCTCGTCGAGAAAGAGCATTGACCTCCAAGAGGGGCCTACCGCAGGCCTAAAAGTCAAAGACATTCTGCGGTGGGACCTCACAGAGGAAGAATGTGATAAGTTTGCGGTGTTTCGCGATGTCGTTTCTTTCGACTCGACGAATGGGTGCACCACAGCTACCACATCCGCGGCAAGTAGCCAGAAGTCTAGTTGGTGCCATAGCAATTTTAGGGCCGGGGATTTCTCCGCATCTTTGGGGAAAATCCCCGGCGTAGGGGAAGTTGAGAAAGTTGGGAAGGAGAATGTTTTTTCATGTGATGAGAGTGTCGGTGGGCATTTCAGGGAAGAAAATCAAATGGTCCCACAGGTATGTGTCGTTCTTTTCATACGTCACCTCTCCTCTCCCTTTATTTGTTCTTATTTTTTGTGTTGATATACATTATTGATCACGAAAATGATATACACAACTTTTATTTTATGTGCAAATCATTTCTCACTATATACTAAGTTAAAAAAGGATTGTGTATATATATACAACATATAGTACTATCTACTATGTGCCAAGTTATAGTCTTCGTTTCTAAAATTAAAGTCACACCGTTAATTTTTGACAACCTAAAATTAAAGTCAAATTTCTTTTTGATTTAAGAAAATGATTCACAATATTTAACTTGATTCTAAATAAATTCTACTCGCACATCTTATAAAAAGCTTTTATGAAAGGTGGAACGCCCATTCCGGGCGGTCCACACCCCAGCCCAATATGATTGTGAGGGAGGTAAATCATAATATAATTTCAATCTGGTTCTTAGAGAAGCTAAGGTGCCCCGTGTCTGGTGTGCTCAAAGTGTTATTACAGATAATAGAACTCTTACACGCCCTGTGTCGCTGTCAGCATTCGATTTTAAGATCAATGAGTTTGATATCACCTCTTTCGGCCCGTAGAGGCTCTTGAGCTACCGATGTGGGCATAAAAAGCCTTTATAACTTGTGAGAATGAAAGGAGAGTGAGTGATATTGTTAGATGTCTATTGTAGCAGGCATTAAATTGCTTTTGTCCTATACCAAACTCATGCCACAGAGTTAATAATGAGATTGTGATTTGCAAAAGTATGAATAGTCCTTTTCACTTGAAAGTGACACTTATTGCAATAAGGATCTATTGATCCGGTGTTAAGGTAACACGATTTATTTGAGATATCTACAATGTTTTTTAAAATTTTGAAGTGATTCATACCTCTTTAATCCTGTGCCCCTCCTCGCTCTTCACTCAGCTTCCATGTCGCTATTAATTTTGCAATTTTGCTACAGCAATGCTTGTAGCAAAATAACAAAATGAGAGGAGGCGTGGGGCGTAAGGAGACGGTGGTAGTTAGGGAGAAAGGATTCACGTTGGGATTCTCAACAGAACACCGTACGTGTCCCAAACGTGCAGTGCAACTAGAATCAACCAACCTATATGAAACCGGACTATATGTTTGTATTAATTAATACTTGTACTTAATTTTATAAATATTTAAAAAGTTAATCATTTTGTTTGATGGTCTATTGATGCAGTTACATTTGGGGTATGAGGAGAAGGAGCAACATAGTCCTGTCTCTATATTAGACGACTCACCTTTCAGAGATGAAGACGAAGAAACCTTCTCTTCCAATCCAATCCTTCATGAATGTACGTACTGCACGTTACAAATTACGGAGTATGTGTGTATATATACTCCCTCTATTCCAAAAGTTGGGTACAAATTTGTTCCAATTATTTGTTTTCACTTTTAGGAAGTTCTAAATAAACGTTAAGTGAAAAAAAGGTTGGGGTACAAATTTGTTCGGAAGAGAGAAAGTTTGTGAGCTACATATCTAGAAAATGGTTGAATAGAGTTTTCTGGACCGAGAGTTTTTTTTTCAGAAAAATAATATCCATGCTGCAAGCGCAATCACATAAATTTTCACTTTTTAAAATATGTTCCACTTCATATAATTCATAAACTTTTATTTTAAAACAGGCAACAATAATGGTGTTAGGAGGTGTTGCTACAATAACCAAGAGTGCTCATCATCATATGAGTGGGAGATTGAAGAGAAGAGAGAAGCTTACATTAGAGATATGGAGATGGCAGCTGGGGGGATAACAAGTTGGCACAAGTTTGAGCAAGAAAGAGACCACATTTGCTTCCACTTGGAGCTTCAAGTCCTAAGAGACTTGGTTGATGAAGCTTTGCTGGACCTTTTTTTACCTGCAAAATTGATTTATGAGTAAAGTTCTTTTCACCCCGAAACGGTTCTTACCCATCTAACTCCTCCCTCGCTCATGTTATGCCGTTTTGAAGCTGTAAGCATAACGGTAAAACATGAGGGATGAGGAAGGATAGAAGACGAGCTCAGAGGGTTAGAGAAAGTAAGTATCGTTCCGGGATAAGACAGAACTTCATAAGGCTCTCAAATCGCCCAGTGTCATATTATGACACCCATAATATATTACATCTAGCTTCACCATACATGGTTATCTATACCAATATAAATATATACTTCATCTCTTGTTGTAATAATAATAATAATGATAACAGCATATACATTATATACAAATAAACATTCTTTTAAATAAACTGAGCAAACATCATTTTTTCCAATTTTGCAATCGATAAATAGGCGTTATTTCAATAAAATTACACTTATATGTTTACATGAATTAATATGTAAAAGGGGGATGATAATTTTTAGTGAGTGACAGTCATATATGAATGTGCTTACATACAATTTGTGTACATGTATCATATCTCCCCCTCTGTACATATACAAACACACAGTACCACACAAATGCAACGAAGGATAAAAAAAATGATCCAACAATGTTTATGTACACACACAAAAAATCATATTGTGAGATTTTCCTGAATGGCTAAAAATGATCCAACAATGTTTCCTCCGACGTCCGGGAAGGTTGGGCACCCGGGAAGAGGCTTTACTCTACCTTTGCGGTCTACTTCCACAGGGTACTTAAGTAGGTGGGCCCGCATATCGGTAACCTCTTCGGCTGCAAACTGTTTCCAGTTTGCCTCTCCCATTGATCTTACTCTGCGTACACACTCTACCGACTCCGGTTGTGTGAAGCAGTCTTCAACAACTCCAAGATGCTCAGCCCAGAGGGACATTCTGTATCCGTAAATCTGCAGGAGATGTGATTTATTACAAGAAATTATTCTACAAGAACCCACTCCATTGGAATCTGGGGTAAAAAATGTTTGCAGTTTTACACTCTAATACCACTGTAGCCTGCAGGAACAGAGAGACTGTTTCCGTTAGACCCTAGATGATTTGCTGCATTTACTGCCCAAAACTTCACAGATAGTAGGAAGCAAGGGAAGTTTAATGCTCCATTTTGATTTAGTCCATGCCCGAAACTAAAACAGTCAATAATGACTCTTTTGTTCTATCTTGAAAAAATTGAACCCCTAGACCCTTTTGTGGGAAAACAGTGGTTGGGTAAGTTGTATCTTGAAACCTATCTAAATCCGTCCCACAATAACCACCCGTTCTCATCCCTATCCTAACATTTAGACAGAACATAGGCAGGGTCAGTTTGGGAAAACAGTGTTCTGTCAAGAAAGGCCTAGCTCAGTAGCGACTATAAAGGTCAAGCTGATAGTTTTTAGTAGTTAAATATGCATTTGTAATGATTGAGTAGTAAACAACACTTCGCCAACCTGTCCATGGGGACTTGAGAGTTTTCTAGCCCATGTATGATGAGGTTGATAAGCTCCCATCGCAATCTCGGTATCTCTTGTCCCTTCCAAAGAACGCTGATTGATGTTAGCAGACCCCAATATTACATACTCATCGTCCACGATCATCCCTTTAGAGTGCACATAGATCATGAATCTTCTGTTTTTTCTACTAAGTGCCTGAAAATTGTGAGTAAAATGAGTCTTGTAGGGGCAAGAGGTAAAACACCTTGAGAGTTGAGACCATCCATGATGAAATAAAAAAGCATTGCCATTGACTCATTGCTCTATGGATATACCTGAGGATTATTTGCTGCTGCAGGGTTCTCAGTGTTTGGTGGCACATCACTAGCATCAGGAGCTTCACGGTTTCCAAGACAGAAGAAGTTCAGATAATCTTGGGGAGAAAAAGTTTCCTCAAGTCCAACCTCCACTAAGGCCTTGTAGATAGTCTCATACATCATCTGCATTGTCTTATTCTGCCAGAAAAGAATCCTTTGAGTAGCAGCACCTGTTGGATTACCCTCTGGCCACATTGGGATGACAATATACACAGCAAACTTTTGGTGTGCTCTTATTTTATCCGCAATTTTAAGTGCAATTTCCATTGGAATTAAATTGTCAGCACCTTCAAAAAAAAGCAGGAGAGCACAATATAGTTTCAAAAGGTTTGGATACCCACAGTTTTTCATTTAACAATAAGAATTTCTACCCACCACTAAATTATTTGACTGCACAAACAGAATCAGCTGACGAAAAAAATGTAGAGCAATAGTTACTCTTTTGATAAGTTACAGAAATGAAGTAAATGTCAGATCACCCATCATATTTTACATATTATTCCATCAAATTTCCTAAAAATACTTTTTGACAATATCAACAAATCCAGCTATTTCAGCCAAATTCGCCTCTACCAAACGGGCTCTATTTTTATTTTTTTTGAAAAACATTGATGTGGAAGTAAAATGTCATCAGCACAAATGCTTTAAAAACATTGCATCTTACCAAGATCTCTATGTTGACTCCAGTTGTAAGAGGAACCAATGAAGTATTGGTTTTCAATATAGATAAAATGTTGTGCAGAACGAATGGCCTTCACATATGCTGTGTGTATGCTCATATCAATTAGCACATTCTTCCCGCACACCAAATTCTATAAAAAAAATGATTGGCAAGATATAGTAAGCTGGAAGCTAGGAATTAAAGTAATTTAATAAAAGGAACCCTTGTCTTTCTCTCTCTAGCACCTTCATTGTAGCTTCTTTAGGTTCCTTAGGAAAGTCTTTAACCGAATTGGAGTCTATTGAACGGAAGATCTGCAAAAGAATGACAAGAAAACATGAAAAAGTTGCCCATTCAGAGTTAAAGCCACAACATTTGTTTGGTTCAAAGGAGGGAGGGACTAAAAAGGGAAAATTGTTCCTTCAATTTCCTCCACTTCCCTCAACCCAAACAAGAACTTAGTCGAACTTCTCGATAGTTAGAACTTGCCTGAACATGCCAACCTTCGGGATCATCACCACTCACACACGGGATATCAAATATACCAAGAATTTCAGGCATTCTTTCTATCCGGAGCAAGGCGTCATCATATGAGATTTTCAATTTTTTAATCCCGTGTGGCTTTGAAGCCTTCAACCAACGCTCTTGAAAATTTGTCAAAATGTCATACGCTGCTGGACCATCAATTTTACAGTGCAAGTCATGCCATGGTTCTCTGGGACACCCAGCGACATTCCCCTGGTAGATAATGAGTTAATAGCAGTTCTTGCTTATTAAATCACAGCGAAGATATAAAATGATTTACTTCCACCCTTACATGAAAGGCCTTGGATGAGATACAACCCGTATGATAAATATTACTCTCATTTAAAAAAGTCATGTTTGACTAATGTTAAAAAATTTTAGTTTCTTTGAAGGACCGACTTGGCTCAGCGGTAAGCTTGCTTGCCGTGGTGTGTCAGGTCGCGGGTTCGAATCAGCCTCTCTGCAAAAAGCAGGGGCAAGACTGCCTAGAGTATTGCCTTGCCACGACAGTGCGGCACTCACAAAGTGGGTATTTGAACTGGGTCAGCCCTTTTTTTTGGAAACCAAATTTTTAGTTTTGGTAATACTCCATATACAACTAGTGCAAGTCATTAACCCTACTTATATACTCCATCCGTCCAAAAAATCCTTTTCCAAACCCTTTTAGCCCAGAAAAGGTTCATTTTGATTTATAATTTCATGTTTCCAAAATGTGCCCAAAAAAACATACAAGATACATTTGAAAAGTCTAGTCAGGCCAACAAATTTAAAAAGGCAGCATTCATGCTTTATGAAAATTGTACCCTTACCAAAATGTTAAAGTTGTATATTGGAAAATAGAAACCCTTTTTTTTGGGGAGGGGGATGGCTGGGTGAGGGTATTAGTTGTTCCTTTTTGGATTTGTTTGTTGGCTTACTAAATTTATCGTATTTAACTCGCCATTGACACTTTTTTTGGAAAAGTACTTGAAAAGTTAGCTTGCGTCGTTGAAACCTTTTGTGTG